TAAAATTTACAGTTTAAAACTGAAACTTCAGAATCTTAATTTTTAGTCTGTTTAAAATCCAAATTGAGCTCACTAAACTCGGTTTCTTTGTTTAAAAGGCTTCGTTGAAGCCGTTTTGTCTTGAGGTCAAACACTAAATTTCGCTAAAGTAGAGCCTAAATTTTCAGCTCAAAGTTAATCTTCAGATGTATAACTTAAAATGTTCCATTTTCAATCAACACTTATTTAGGAAAATCGGTTGAGTAGTGAATCGGAAATTTTTTATATCAGAATAAAAATTTGCAGACTTAATGTTAAAGGCAAGAAAAAAGGAAAATGCCGAAATTAAATAAGTTGTTTGTTAAAATTTTGGAAATTTGAGTTTTCTAGTTTCAGGATATTTTTCTTCTTATACCTTTTCCTTCTTGTATTTAATTTTTTCAAAATTTCGATATTAAAATTTATGGGCAAAAAATTCAAAAATTCAAATTCAAACAGTTGCGTTTAAAGCCCACATGTCAAGTTTAAAATTCAACCCACGACTTTGATTTTGATGTTAAAATTTGCTTTTCGTTTTTCGAGTTTAAAATTTAAACGTTCTTAATTAAGACCGTTTAATCTTTACTTTGATTAAAATTGGGCGAAAGTTTCAATCGTAATTTTCTTTGAAATTTCTCTCCGGTTTAGAGTCACACTTCTCAGCATAAATTCGAATTTCCTGAAACCAAATTTGTAATCGAAATTCGGGCTCCAAGTAAGAATTTTTTTAATAGTTAGTTTCAGACTTTAGTTGCACGTTTCCGTATTTTGAGACTAGAAATAACCAACCAAAAAATTCAACAGAAATCAAAATAGAAAGCAGAAATTTCAGTGTTAAAATGAAGTGCATTATAAATAACAAATTTAACTAGAACCAATTCTTTATCATGTTCAAATTAGTATGAGAATGATGACAAATTTTATTCCCGCAATTTCTAAACTGTTATTCCCTAATGAATTTACCTAAGCATTTAAAAAATCAAACGATTGTCCTCTGTTCGCTTTTATACTAATTGAACCTTCTGTGGTAAAAATGTCTTCATCTAATGACTTCGAATGACTGTGAAGCTGTGAAGGCAATATTATGATCTGGAAAGCGAAACGAAGTCGGATTAATCAGTACTCTAAATTCATCAAATCCAAACCGAATAACCTTAAGTTGATTTCTGATGCTGATTGACTACACAATAACGCGTCTTTGCATATTCCCATGAACAGCAACACATAAAAGCATCATCACTTAATTGCTTTTCATTACATGCCACTTTGTTCTGGTTAGCCTAGAAATACATGCAACTTGCTTGCACTGCAACTTGCTAATAAACTCAATAACAATATTCATTCTAATGGCATTATTGTCCACCGCAACCAAGCAAAATCAGGACAGGTAATTTACTCTGTAAACAATATGAAAACGGTTGGAGAATAGCTCAATTTGACCACCGATACGGCCTAGTCATCATTCTCGTATATAAGCTGGCAGCTTTTCATTTCTTTGTGTCAGTAAAACCCAATAAAAGATCATTTTAATAAGTTATAGAACACTTTATTTTCCACTGATTGCTAAATTTCATGGCTGTATTCTTCATTTATAAAACTCACAATGGTTCTGGCTTAAAGCGATAAATTATAAAAAGATCCATCTACCTGCCTTAATAGTACCATCTCGACCGTAATTAGATGATTTGAGGGAAATATACAAAATTTCAATTTTTCCTTTCATTAATTTCCTGATGGTTTAAAGGCTGTTTGAAAAGATAATTTGGCGTTTGATTAATAATCCTCATAAATAACGAACGAGTTAAAAAATTTATATAAATATGAACGATTTAATTGGCTTATGCAAACGAGCCAGCTTCAATAATCAGACATTGATCCGAAATCCCTGCTATCTTTTAATAAAATCGGTGTAATGATGCCAACAGGAATAATAAGAAAATAAGTAAGACGGCTGGCTTGCATATTTTCATACTTTTACTCCGGTTCTGCCATTAAAGTCTAGTTTCAG